TGTGTGTGTGAGAGAGAGAGAGAGAGAGAGAGAGAGAGAAAGAGTTGATATAGATTTCCACCACCATACATAACCATAATTGATGCAGGAATAAAATTTACTCCAGTTTGAAATCTCACTGTTCAATTATCTTCTAACTTCTTACCTTTCATATTACTCATTAAAATAAGTGGTATCTCACCATCCAAGTCAATATAAACTTGTATTCCGTGTGTTTCAAAAAATTTTTATGAACAGTGTTATAGCTCGAACTCCTCACTTGATTCTCAACTATATTTCACAGTTTATTTGGCATGTGGCAAACTATTTTCTCACTTATAAATTTTTAGATTACTGACCCTAGTAAGATGTATATAGTGTCACTATTGACCTTCTATTTTGAGAGGCTAAAACAATTATATTATTGCTCTCCATGTTGCTACTCTGTAAATAAGCTAAAAATCCAGTTGCATCAAGAGGTTTATAATTTATGTATTAAAACTGCAGTGGAAGCCCAACTGAAAAATTATCTTGGAATGAACAAATGACTAAGGTATCAGAATTGCATTCCTTAAGTTCACTGATATCTTACAAACCCCATGCTGAAGGAGCAGGTTATCCATCAGAGAGAATGAGCACATTCTAAGCATAGAATTTAACAAATGGGTCATCTTTAGTACCAATTTTTCTTTTGATTTTTGATCATTTCAGGTATAAAAATAATAAGATTCATGAGAAACTATTTTTCAGAACAAACTATAGCCATAAAAAATGATTTCTACTACAGTAAAGCTAAACCAAAGGAGTAATTTCATCTATTTTTCTTTGTGCAAACTAGCTATATGTACAGCACTGCATGAGGTACATGTTGCTGGGCCTTTGGGCATGATCACATCACGATTTAAATGTATTTCAGAATAAAATTTTCCTTATCTTTATTTTTTTCCTGAACATATCAAACTGTTGAATATGTCAAGTGGTAAAATAATTGAAAAATAAACCATTTATGATTTGGGGGGGTTTTTTGCACATTCAAAATACTTGGAAGAAATATTTGTGGTACATAATCCTTCAGTCCACTTCAAATTGTGGTGCTTGTGTTTCTCTATTTCTCCAAAGCTCATGCTTAAATAATGACTAATAATCTATACTAAATTTAAATATATTATGGTAGTATTGAGAAAGTCATTCTTCCGTAAACTGACAAAAACTAGAATGGGACATAAGATACAGAGCACTTCTTTCAAAAAGTGGTTAGTTAGATTTTTCTTGCCTCTAAATGATTGTTCTTCTCTTAAATTTTAATCTTTTAGCTGAAATTAAATGGTAGGGTTATACCTAAATAGTAGTAGTGTTAGTAGTAATGTTCTTACAGAGAAATAAGATTTTACATCCAAAGAGTATATCTGAAAATACAGACATGAGAAAGGATAAAAGTAAATAAGCAATACTTTTTTTCTATTTTCTTCTCCAAGATATCAGGTTTTGTTTTTAGGTATTTTAGTCATTTATAATAGTCATAACATGCATTTAACATTGAGTTTCTTCATATCTGAGTCATCATAAAAATGGAAAATAACATTCTGGGAAGAAAAGTATGAGCTTAAATCTCAGCTATTAAGAATCATAAAACAAGTATATGATAAAATACAGATGAAATTAAAACATCTTCATCATCAATGATATCAAATTAAGACACATTTACATAAGTGAAAAATGATTCTGCTTATGCAAATGTATACAAGTTCCTAAATAAAACTTTCTCACTTATAATGACTTTTTCTTTACTAGATAGACAATTTAATGATACAAATTTATATGACTCATCAGCATTGAAGAATTAAAGTTAAAACTTGGAGATGACATGGTTTGGTTGATGAGGAGCTTTTTATTTTTAACTCAGTTTCTCCAGCTGATAGTAAGTTTATACTGAGAAACAGAATACAACTCTAGATAAAGTCCTTAAAAAGGATAATTTGATTCCCCAAGAAACATTTTTCAATATCTATACTCATTTTTCATGGTTACTGCTTTGGTTATGAAGGAGTATTACTAACATCAGCTAAGTGGACAGATGCAGGGATCCAGTTAAATATCCTACCTTGTAACGGACAACAAAGAATTAAGAGTGGCTCAAAATTTCAAGAGGTTGAAAATCCTTGCTCTAGATCAAAAGAAATTTGGGGACACAGGCAAGTTTACCAAGAAGCATTAATATTTTTATATGTTCATAAAATATCAGCCACTACCAATGGTTAGAGGTACAATTTTGGAAACATTTTGTTGTGGGATTTATAAAGAACTGTATCTGTGAAGGAGAACTTGAATTTCTGGCATTTATATGAAATTTTGTAATAGGAAATTAGAACTTGGAGAGTTGCAGAAATAGAGTAAATTAAGTTTAAGTAGTTGAAAAAATATTTTTGTTCCTGTAAAGACTGAGTTACTACAAATAAAGATTATGAATTTTAATGAGGAATGTTTATCAGTTAGCATGGCATAGCCAAGCTAATTTGCAAATAAAGACCACAGGAATCATAAAAGCTTCTTGTAGACAGGGCCAGGGCGCTCCTGACCCTGAGCTGTCTTGACAATGGTTTTTGCACATGCCCTAGAAGGACAGTTCATCAGTGTTAGGACACAAGTTTTAATTAGATGTATATCATATATAGTTTGATGTTATTTATATTAACTTCTATTAATATCACACCAGCTTGTGGATTCTGTTTCTTTCACATCACTTCAGTGCATTTACACAGCATGGATATAAAAAGTCCCCTTTAAGTAATATAACTCAACAATAGTGTAAGTACATCAGACTCTCCTGCATTTGCAATCACTAGTCTGATGCTTCAAGTAGGTTTACCAATGATCAGTCGCCCTACAAAATAATGTTTAAACAGCATCTAGTAGAGTCTCAGTTTTCCATAAAGTACAGTTTGTGAGATTGCAAAGGTCAGGAAGAACTTTGGCTTCTTTCGACATGGTTGACTTACATCTGCATATGTAACCTGTCTCTTTCAATGCTATATGGAGTCTATGTTAAGACAGTAAGACAAGGGAAAGGAAAAAGTTATGGAAATGTTTTTGCTTTGAGAGACAGAGGAGAGAAAATGCCTTCTCTGTTATGCTTTGAAAAATCATGCAGTTGAATGAATCCTTCCCTGGAGAGTATGACCTAAGGATTAAAAAAAAAAAAAGTACCATGGTCACTAAAATAGTCTTCTGGGAATGTTTAAACTGCAAAGAAGGGAATTTTCTTCTTTAAAAACTACCCAACACGAGCACTTAAATATGTAGAATTTCATTTAAATAAGTCAGTCAACAATTTTTTATAAAGTATTTAACACTTCATTGTAGAAACATAGGCAAAATGACCATTATAACCAAATGAAAAATACTGTTCAATTTAAAAAATGTACTTAAACAAGAACCTGAAAAAGTTTATGGTATGCATAACATTGTTCAAGCAAAATTGCACTAGTATTACATAAATCAATAGATTATAAAGGCCTCAATATGGCAAAGTTTAGAAATAGGTAGTATGCATGCACATAGTACAACAAAAAGTCTCCTTATAAAACAGCAGTTTTTTAATGCTTGTACAAAGGGATAAAGAGCAACCACAAACATATTTCATCTGTTAGGTTAATACATTATGACAGCTAAAAGTCAGTCATGTCTATCAGAGGAACGAAAAGTCCTCCACAACTTGTGAATAAATCTTTTGTGCCTTTAAAGATATTTGTATAAAAATGCTATTCTTTTTTATACAACTTAAATAAATCTCACTTTTTTCAATCAACATTTAAAAACAAACAAACAAACAAAAAAAATGAATGGGGTCCATGTGTTTTGTGTAAACGAAAATAAATGAGAGTACCAGAACAACTGGTACAGGATTTACACTCTTCCCCTTTGACTATGAGCAGGAAATTGCTCTTTTAAATTTTGGAAGTTTCTTGAAGAACATATTTGGGTAAGGTGGATATTGGATTAGCCCATATTGTATTTTGGAAATATTTATTAACTGCTCTATACAAAATGGCTATTTACCTTTTTTTTAACCATACAAAGAGAATGCATTCACATAATTGAAATTCTGTCATCATTTTGTGTGCTTGTATATTATTTTTAGTGTTTGGTATTAATAAGGAGTTGGGCTAATCTTCCACAAATTGTAAGTAGCTGGGAGGAAATAGGTAAGACATGAGAACCCAATACCCTGTTGTGCTCCAAGCTGCCTGTGTATCTCAGGATTGATGGAAAACAAAAGGTCTTATCCCACAGCAAATGTCCACTTCTGGTTATATTTTCTCTATGTTCTATCACCTAAAAATAACTATTGCTTAGAGGGTGTATACATTTAGAGTTTCACATATAGTCAACTAAGTTTTGGAAAATGTAGCCATCTGTGTTCATGCAAATTATTTTCTATATATTTTTAGGTTTTTTTCCTCAAAATTCTCACTTATCACTTGGCAATCTAAGGCTAATTTCAAAGCAGATGAGGCTGAACCTGTAAGGGTTACATATCTTCAGCAGTGAATCAATATTCATGGGCACAAAGAAGAGAGTTGTGCATTCCAGCAATCTTCCATCAATTAAAAAAAAATAAAATGACATTGTATTACAGCTTTCAGATCATATAATGAAAAGTGCAGAGATTCTCCTTGTTTATTAAGTAGAACCCAAAAAGTTCATATAAAATAGATTGCTCATATTCACACTACAAAGGAATATGCTGTTTTTTGATTTTAATAAATTCAAAGGTGTGTCACATCAGCAGCATTGTTTCAAATTGTACTGTAGTGCAGTTCTCTTTCATAAAAATACCATACAAATGATCAATCAATAGTCATCAGCAAAAAATAAAACCCAAAAAACTCAGAAAGCAATTAATGAGGAAAAAGATAAAGAAAGAGGTAATGCTGATGCCAGAACATGTATAATACTGTTGGAACATACAAAAGTAAACCTTATTTTTATACATTTATACAGCATAGAAAAGATAACATTGATTATGCCACTGTCTCTCTTATACCAATTTCTATTTTCTTTGGAAGCAGTTCTTTTCTTTCATCAACACTTCCTAAGGAGTTTCGACAGTTTTGCCCATCCATATACAACTTTGCATATACTGGGTTGGAGTAATTTGTTGGCTGAAGGAGAAAAAAATAAATGAACATAATTTTATTATTAGTCAACCACATTGCTCATTTTGTAGGATGTCTGTCTTTTAATGGTAGCAATATTTATAGGTGATGCATTCAATTTGGTAAATAATACATAATGAAACATATTTTAAACTCTAGGTTTATGGGTTTTGTCTACTTCAGCATGGTATGAGATAAAAACACATCTTTATGCTTTTCAGTTCACTTGTGAACCAAACTGGAAGCTCTGATTGTAAAATGAAAGGTCAGACAGTAACTGTGTCAAACTTATGTTCATCAAGACTTTATTGTAAAATATTCAATCAAGTTATTATGCTTCTATGCCATATATCCTTCACTCCAGTACTGCTACCTCTTATTGCTAATGCAAGCTTATCAGTGGCAGATAAGATGTACATGCAAAAGAAATCATCTAATTGGTTGGTGCTTACAATTATTATATGAAGATAAAAACAAGCAAACAAAAAAAAGTAGAAGTAAAAAAATACAATAGTGAAGTACACTCTAAAGTAAAGACATTAGTTTTCTTCATATGGCCTGTATGTTCATGTGATTGGAAGTATCTTTGGGCTTCTCCAAAAATTGTGAGATACGGTCACTTTAAGTTTCACAGATACAAAGCATTTTGACGCAGAATCAAACATGCAGCTGTGACCCCGTTCTGCTGGAAATATATACTCAGTGTTCATTATTTAACAAATTGCAGCTTAAATGAAGAAAGTATTGCCTAATTTTTGTTTTGTTGGTGTTTTGGTTTGTTTTTATTCAAAAGCAGTACATTAAACAGTAGTTATAAGAAAACTTGATCTTTGAGTCATGCAAAAGAGACAAACATGATAATGAGAATGAAAAACAGTTGATGGGAAAGAGGAACAAGGGAAAGCACACTCTTCCCTAGGAATCTTGATAACCATATTTTATTCTTCTTCCTAAACAGAACTCTAAATAGAACTATGTCACTTAGAACAGAATAGCTTTTTCTAAACACTACTTACTTAATTTGAAAGAACAAGAACATTTTCCTTAGGCCATCTCTAATTTCTCAATATATTTAATTTCACATCTAATTTATATATACTTAGTGAAACAACTTAATAGAAAATGAATAAAACCAAGCAAATTTAAATTAATTAGCTTTAGATTTCTGACCATGGATTCTTTTCTAAGAACAACACATACTCATGTTCATTGTTAAGAGGTTAAAATCTGTTCAAATTCAATAGAAGAGATATTTCTACTTAATAACTTGTCTAAAGTGGTCACATACTTCATATGCAATTTTGTATGGGCAGGATCCACACATAGCCCTCAGTTTTCCTGTTGTATGAGATATCTTCTTAATTATAAGCCTCTGTCTACATCTAGTAGTCACTCTGACTAGGAGAGGTACTGTGATGGAATGGATATGAATAATGAAGTTCTTCTCTCACCCCAGCAGTTAGTGGTCCTTTCAAATCAGAGTTTAGGTAGATGGGTGGCGCTGTGTGGGGAAGCTTGAAAGCACTGGGCCCTCCCCCTATATACCTGGCCTGGATACAAATAGAAAATTTAGGTTCTTACTAATGTCACAGAACCATTTTTCATCAATGCAAACTATGTTAAATCATAAAATAACATAAAAATACTCTTTAGTCCTTGGGCATGAACACTGTTCATGTTAGCTTTGGCAGCCTAAGAAAGAAATATTAACATCAGGTTACTGCCTCATAGGTAGATATTTCCATTATGCCTAGCTTATTGACAAACATTCTATGCATGTAGCAACGTCCACGTATTTCTGTTTAATACCATCCTCTTCAAGGACATTATATCTTCATTAACAACTTTGTGAAAAATGGAGCAGTCTCCCACATTTAAGATTTGGCACATTAAAGACATCTGAGTTCTGGCAGTGGCTTAGTCTGGACACTCAAATATCTGCTTCTAATCAAAGTCTACTCATCTCTACTATTTAGGGTAACAAAGTCAAATTTTGAACTTGATCTTTATTTTTGGAAATATGACTCTCTAGTCCAAAATAGATTGGCTATAAAATTGGTTCACTGACTCTTCATGCAAATTCATACACTTTAGACTTTATGGAATTAAGGGTAGAGTTATCCAATATTGTACACTTATATTTATAATTAAACGCTTGAAAATAGTAATGAATACATGTGTGTTTAAAACTCTTAACCACCAACTTTTAAAAATGAATAACCACAGAGTTGGAGACAAGTTAAAGAGCCTCTGAAAATGTTTTAAATATAAAATCAAGACAATGTTGCCTCTTTATTTTTTTCAACAACAGTCTCCTTAAAAAGTATTCAAAACAATTCTAATTATTTACAAATCTGTGAATTTAAATTTGAAACCAATCACCTCTGAATTAATAACAATTTTCTGGAATAAAAAAATAGTAAAGATTATGTGAATTTTTGGGTAAAACCAGGGAATTTTAGGGACTCTTCAAATTATTCTGTGGCAGCTTCAATAGTCAAATATCTTTTATAAATTTTATTAAGTACTTCAGTCATTTTGTTTATGAGGTACCACTGAACTAGAAATTTTACCCACATTGAAAATAATTCAAATGACTACTCTACAAAAATATTCTTTAAGTGTAACACAATTTTATTTATCTACATGGTGCATATATCAAACTGCTGTAAAATCCTGAATACTCTATGAAATACATTTAATCATTAAAGCCATTTGTTACATGTGTTTTTTTTAACTACTGTGTATACTTGGTAAGATGAGTCATGTTTTCTGTAAATACCTTGTAGGCAACAATTCATATTTGCATTTGGAAACTTTAGAAACCAGCTACAATCAGCCTTCTAAATCATATTCCATGCAATTTTGGTAAGGCAGTCAGTAAATTGTTAAATAAATATTTATTATGTAGACTGGACACTTTATCTACCATATAAAGATACATTTTGGACAAAATAACTTTAATAAATTTTAAAATAAATAACTAATCAATAAGTGAATAAATTAACTAAGAAAACACACTACATAGTATAAAATTGATAGTCTTAATCTACATAAAGATACTCTACAATTAGCATTCAAAATATTTAGATAATTCAATGAAGTGAATCCTTAAAATTTAATGTATTTGGATGGTTATATTGTGAGCACACAGTAATAAAGTAACAGAAAATTTCAGAAACAATGGATCTTGAGCTATGTGTGTCAGTGATAAGCTTCAAATCAATAATGATACCATGGCATTTCTCAAAAGTGGCTGGATTATAAAGAAATCCAAAGATACAGCTAGCTCACTTGGTTCTTCAAGGAACACAAGTGGAAATAAAATGCTTATTTTGACAATGAAGCAATGAACTTTTATATTAAATAATAAGATAACCAATATTTCACCCTAAGATATTTATTTACATGCATGTTTAAATATGTTAGCACCTCAACACATTTTCATAGGTTATTATGTTAAATAAATTATACATCTTTATGAACTAAGTGAATCAGTGTTTTCTAAAATGTATTATATTAACCTGCATGATTCAGGTGAATGCAGTCCAACTTGTACTTTTTCCTTAGACTAGGCCTTATCATTTAATGCGTCCTAAAGCCCTTTTCTATAACATTGGATAAGAAAACATTGATGAAATTCAGAACCATACAACAGAGGTTGACTCAGGAATGTTAGCACTCAGTGAGTGTCCAGAGTCTTAAGATGCATTACCTTCATTGTGTCTACCATAAATCCAGGATCTAAAAGACCTCCATCATTGTGATCATGATCCACCTCATACATGTTGTAGGATGGATTGCCAATTTCTACATTTATTCCTCCATTGATAATGGGTTGTCTTCTAATTGTTTTTGTCCTGGATGTGGGAACATGAATAAAAGTAAAAGTTGTACAAATATCACAACTCAAGGTATATGAAACCTTCATGTTTATGGATGTATTGACTTTTTAAATATGAATGACAGAAAATATATAAATAAAATGAATTTAAAATAAATTTCATAGATTACATTTGCCAAATTGTAGAGAAACAAAAAAACACCCTTCTTCTTTGATAACTCATTTCCCAATTGTTTGACTTACCAATAAAAATACTCTGGAAATAAAATTCTACTGAACAGTTAATATCACAGTAATTGAAAACTCACGAGAAAAGGTTAGATCAAAAAGAATTAACCTAGAAGGTAACACCCACGCACAGGAAATCAATGTGAGTCAATGCCCTGTATAGCTATCCTTATCTCAACCAGCAAAACCCCTTGTTCCTTCCTATTAATGCTTATACTGTCTCTACAACAAAATTAGAGATAAGGGGAAAATAGTTTCTGCTGGGTATTGAGGGGGGGGGAGCGGGAGGGGGTGGAGTGGGTGGTAAGGGAGGGGGTGGGGGCAGGGGGGAGAAATGAACCAAGCCTTGTATGCACATATGAATAATAAAAGAAAAAAAAAATAACCAGAACAAAAATAAAAAAAAAAAAGAAAATAAATAAATATTACATTCAAAAATTAAAAAAAAAATAAAATAAAATAAAATTCTAATTTTCTTCCTTTGGTCTGAAAATTATCCCTAACAAAACATTGATATAGAAACTTTCAGGCTGATATACTGATGTCTATAATACCATCTAAATTATTTGGCAAGTAAAGATAGGGAGATAGTAGTTCAAGACCAGCCCAAGCAAAAAGTTAGCAAGATTCCATTTCAACAAATAAGTGAGGACATGGTGGCACATGCTTGTAATACCAGATATGTCAGAGGCCATAGGTAGGAGTATCATCGTCTGAGACTGACCCCAAGCTAAAATAGGAGACCCTGCCTGAAAAACAACTAAAAGCAAAAAAGGCCTGGGGTCATGGCTCAAGTGGTGATGTGTTTGCTTAGCAAGTATGGGTCCCTTAGTTCAAACTCCAATACTAACAACAACAACAACAAAAAGATAAAAAATTTAAATAGACTATCTTTAACTGCAAGTCACATGGAGAGAATCTTAATATCTCATAATTCAGAAACTTGCTCACAAGCTATCAATTAATGAAATCCACAGTGGACCCATTCTTTCTGGTCCTTTATAACTGCACTTTCATATAAGTTGAAATAATGATACATCCAGTGAGATACAAAATAAATAAAGGCAGTACTTGCTAATAAATGTACAATTTACAGCATAAATTTACATACTCAATATCACGTATTGGCATTGCTAATCATCCACATTAAAATAATAAGATCATCTTCAGATAACCTTGCTGATTCCGGAAACATTACTGGAAATGTAAAATTCTACTGAATTTTGATAGTGTGGTTAGAATACATAAATGTAGACATTTGATCAACATAATTAGAGGAAGAGTTGTGTAAATTATAATCATTTGAAATGAAATAGATAAGGTTGTTTGAAAACTGTAGGATTTTTCCAGTGGAATAACTAAACAGTGTTTTTTTTTTTTTTTTAATTGTTGTGCTGGGTGGTTCTTACAAAGTTCTTACAATGTATCAAGTATATCATACTTGAATTCTCCCCCTCCACTGCTGTCCTTCACCTCCCCTCCCCCGAGTCCTGGAACAGTTTTAACAGGTATCATTTTTGAATTTACACACATGTATATACATAAGATTTTTTTTCAAACCACTATGTTTCTGCAATCTTTTGTGTGATTTATTCACAAAATATTAATCTATAACACTGTGCCTTACCTTCTTTTCCTTTTACAAAGCACTAAACCAATTACTAGTGTGGTTATTAAAGTCACCAACAGGACCAGAGGCACAATGATGGCAATGCTTCCTGGAAAATAAATGGATGAATAGATGAGTACATAAGTAAAATGAAGTAAACATTGACATAATGAAGCACTTTATTACACCCAATCAATTCATCATGGATATAACAAAAAAAAGAGCTTGGCCACATGTTTATATTCTGAATTTTTAACTATGTTACTGAAATTGATCTGCTGTAGAATACTTAGTCTGCTGGGAATGTCTTCTCAGACAGTTCTCACTATGTGTTGCATTTAAACACATGGAATTTAGAGATACTGACTTCCTTCTCATTCTGAGTTTATTGAGTCCCATCACACGTTTACTTGCAATGATGTATCTACGTACTAGTAACTACTTAAAAATCAACCACGTCTGAAAACACATTTAGACAATTTCACTGGTCACATTTCCTCCAGCTAACATTTTGTTCTCTTAACTATAAATATTTCCTGTCCATGAATTCATGTGGCAATTTTGATGGCAGCCTGGTGAAACAAAAGGGACATCAGAGTTGAATTCAGATGGTCATGGGCATAAATATCAGTTTCACAAATTACTTGAAGCAAGACCTTCAGTAAGTTAAACTCTGAGTTATGCTCTTTGTCAATAAATCAGAGATAAGAAGACTCATCAGACATGGATGTTAGCCTGTTTATTCAAAAGAGAATAAAAGGCCAAAGGGAATTCTCTTTGTCAAGTTCTAATTCCAGAAAGTTTTAATAAAACACATTTTTGGGTTATGGCTTGTTATGCAAATGTCCCTTTTCCCTTCATCATGAATATGCAAATGATCTGAGTTTCTCTCCTTAGTAAAATAGATCTTCAAATGTTGGTCTTGGTTTTCATGCATCTGAGAATAGTAAAAAAGCAAAATTAGAAAACTTTTGTTTCCCATTCTCAGGTTGGAAAAAGAGAGGCACAAATTTTTAGCCTGAGAAACAGAAATGATTCACCTTTGCTAATAATTTTACTTAGAGGAGGATATGTCATTTATGGTAGGAAGAAAATATGCAAAGGTTGCTTCATAACAGAAGTATTCAGTAGCTCTAACAGGTGACTAGTGACACTTTTTTAATAGGCAAATATCTAGTGCCCATGAAACTAAAGCTTTTCATATATACCCAGTTAGTTTAGTCAAGTCAGTTTAATGGCTGTATAATCTAGGAAACAAAGAAACCAAACTACTAATTAAAATTAATTATATTGAATAGCTTAGGAATGGAATATTAATAATCATTAAAGTATATTAATTTTTCTTTGCAAACACAGGTGAAAATAATAATACTGCCTGAGAAGTTAATGGCAGTGTTATTTATGTACAATACACAACCACTTAGGAACTTGATTATAGAAATATAGATCTGCTGTAACAGTTCTAGCTACAAGATACCTGAGTGAGATTGTCTGTGGTGGAGATCACTTAACAAAAAGTGTTTACTAAAGAAATTTCACATTAGTAAATCTTCCAATTTGAAACTCCAGAAAGTAACTTACCTAAAAATTAACTGTCTCTTGTATACAAGACAAAGTATAGCTTACTTTCTTTAGTCACTTTCAGATATGTAAAACTCATTTTGTTTTTGTGTTTTACCAGGGCCACAAAACTGAGTGGGATTGATATAATACTGTTTCTTTGCTTTTGGGAAACTGAACTTCATATGTAATTTATTAGTAATTAATGAAAGCAGAGAATCTGGCACCTTGGATAGTGATTAACATTTGTTCACAAATTTAAATACCAGGGAACAGCTTGGTTTCTTCATAAACTATGACTTCAACTGATTGATCGTGACTTTATAAATATCTTTACTTCATTATTCATTCTTTTCTGTTAAAGCTTGTGAAAGTTGGTGCATGGGAAAAACCTATCAATAATGGTTTTAAGATGAAAAACATTTATTTTTCCTCTGTAAAATTATAAATTATTCAGAAAATTATATTTTACTTACATAGTTTTTACCATTCCTTTTAAGGCAGAAAGCAATTAACTATACATTCTAGAAAACAAAGGATTTCTTTTTTCTTTCAATTTTCCCCATCACAGGTCACAGTTGCAATACCATATTTTGCACCATTCTGTTTAGAAGCCTAGACTTCTGATGTGTTTATGTAACCAATCAAGGTAACTGCAATAATGCTTAGTGGTGATGATAAATAATGCAGTGTAGCAGTTTTACAAGTTTCTTTCTTTTTTTATCTTTTGTTAAAATGGTTTGTTTTGATAGAAACAACTGGAAACTATTTATTTGTAAAATTGTAAAATACGTATTTATCAAAATAAGTATGTTTTTCCAGCTAGCATACAACAGCAATAAATATCATATTGTAACAAGTAATAACACAGGCCTATCACAGGCAGCTTTTTAACCGTATATTATTAATGGATTATTAATAATTGTTCAAAAACATATGTTCTGTATTTAGTAAGAGTGGAGGGGCTAGCCCAACAACTTTTTCATATCAAATAGAGTGAGTCATTCTTTGTAATATGCTTTAGAAGTCACATATGCGATACTTTTCCATTAAAAGAAAGACTTGTATGACAACTCGTCAAGTTGAAAAGCCGCCTTCACTGGCAGAATTGATACTGCTGTACCTCAGTGAAGGTAAAAGATTCCAGAGTAAGGCTCTCTCTGTTCAAATCTTACTAGCAACATAACCTTCAGCAAACTCTTTCTCTTTATCTCATATTAGTTTAAAATGGATCTCATCATTAACAGCTACCTCATATTAGTGCAAATACAATTATACTAATAATGTAAAAAGTACAACACACATGCTTAATCAAAACTTAAAAATTTACTTTCCCATAGCACCCTTTGCATGCCTCAATTTTACACTTTTCATATTATATCATAAGAAGCAGTTTATTTTTAAGCTCCTTGAGGACATGAACTGTTTACTTCTTGTTGTTCTGCAGACAGTGAAGTTCTTAGGATGCCCTAGAGGACATACATTCAACTCTCATTTACAAAATGTACTTGCTGTGGCCAAGACACCCAACCTATACTCTACTTTGTACTAAGGATTCAAAGGAATTTCCTCACATGTGGCTTGATGTATATCAAAAGATGACCAACAAATGAGTTTATTCAACAAGACACAAGGCAAGGCTGTAATTGCCCTGGGAATATAAAGGATGGCATTCAACTGCATTTGAGATGTAGGAAAATGGGTATGTCTCTAAATCCTCTTCACTGTGTTGAAGAGAGTGTGAAAACCTGTGAGATTAAATTAAGGAAAAACAAGCCATCTGGCTGGAGCGCAAAATCACTAGTGGTAGAAGAAGATGTGGCTCTAGAGGAAAATCTAGGTAATGTTATGGTGGACTGTAAACCATATAAATAAGATGGTCATAGACCAAGCATGGTGTCAAATGTATTCCCAGCTGTAATCCCAGATAATTGGAAGGTGAAGATCAGGAAAATTTTGGTTCAAAGCCAGCCTGGGCAAAAAGTTGGGAAGACCCTCAAGGTTAATCAATAAACCAGGCAGTGTCATTACAGCTATATGTGGGAGGCTCAGATTGCAGTCTGAGGGTGACCCCAGGCAAAAAACAAGACCCTACCTGAAAAATAACTGGCTTAAGTGACAAATTGCCTTCTAGCAATCTTGAGGCCCTGAGTTCAAACTCCTGCATCACCTGTGCCTGAATTAGAAAGGTGAATCTCCATGTAAATTGAGAGTAGTTGGGGCAGCAGAGGTAGTATATTACTGACTCTGTTAAGGGCCAAAAGCGATGAGCTACTTCCTCTTAAGTGGAAATGCAGATTTGAAGATGCATTCTTAAAGTATCCATATTACTTATTGCCAGATTACTTTTACTAGTCATAACTGGGGAACATTTGATAAGCATTTAGTTACTGGCTTTTTACCTGAAAGCAAGTATCACTGTGCTTAATTTTCCTTGCATTTCAGAACCACTGAAGTGAGTTTCTGTACGTAGAAATGTCTGGTGATAAACACCTCCTAACAGAGTCATTATTTGGTCAACTTTGTTCTAGTCTGTGATAATTTGACATTTATGTAGCTAATAGCCCTTTCAATGTGCATTGATACTTCCATTAAAGTTAATAACTTTAAATCAGTGATGGAAGGAAGAGCCACAGAGTCTTTGGAAACTGTTATGACTACTTGAAACTCCTTTTTCTACTTCATATTCTCTGTATCAGAATTGCTCTGTGTAATTGCAACCATTTTTTTTCCTCAGAGAAATTGTTACCTGTGCAAATGGTTGTGGACACCACTTTCCAATGAAAAAAATACATGGAGCATTCTTCTCCAAACCATTTTTCAAATGCTGAGCATTCCTTTATATAAAATTTGAAAATTCAATAGACACTGTAGTCTGATTCCTTCTCTTCTTTTGTCTTCTTATTAGCATACATTAATTGTACAAAAGTGTTTCAGTGTGATATTTCTGTACATCCTTGTAATATACTTTGATTAAATTCACTCCCTCTATTACTCTTTCTTATCCTCCTTGCCCCACTTTTTAAACAAAATTAACAGAATTTTACCAATGCATGCATTGGCATTTGTATTCTAAAAGGCTTTAGTTTTTAAGGCTAAAAACACCTTAGTTTTCCAATCCCAATTCATAAAATTTGTATATTCTATAGGTTGGCAACTTCTAATTAATTTTTTAAATTTTTAATAAATGCTCACTTTTAATTATTTTTAATATCTGTAAATAGTTTCCAACCTTATATTTAAATTATTATGCCTTCATAATTATTACTGGTAACATTAGTTGGAAACTTGGATGCTAGGAAACACAAGAGGAAGTATTTATTTTCTTTTCCTCTCCTTTTGTGTGTCAAATTAAGCAAGGTACATTTTGCCACATCTAACTTTATGTAAAAGAAATCCTCAAATCCCAGTGCCCTAGTCCTACAATTACATGCCCATAGTTTTCCTAAGACCTTCTCCTTTCTCTACCTAAGCACAACATGCATACACCATGGTAAATCCAAATGCTCCATAAACAAAGGTCACACACCTTGCTTCTTCAAATTAAAATATGCATGCCCAGGGTATTTATTCTATGCCTACAATATGACTTTTTCTAAGATGCTCAGGCTTATCAACACAGATTCAATCTCTGAATGTTGGGAATTTAGAAAATGTTGCAGCGAGAGTTTCAAACAATAGTATAGAAACTATTAGAGAACAGGAAAAACAAATACACCATAAAGACTGGACACTATTTCTAGGATACAAAAATCAGATTTTTTTACATGTATATCATTTTTCCTTTACCACACATTCTAAAGTAGTATGATTTTTATTTGGTTTTATGAATTTTGTGTCTCTAGCAAAGAAAAATTAGGGAGAATTGCCAAACTAAGGATATAATTTTTCCTTCTCAAAAATGTGTATACTCAACATGATATACATTGTACATTTTTAATGTACAATGGTAAAATAAATGACACTATGTGTGAATTGGGAAAGTTTATATCAGACTTTTATTTTGAAAATCTTCATAATGTCATTTAAAGTTGTTCAGAAAACATGTTAAGATCATAGAATGATTGTGGAGTTGGATCTGTCCTAAGAATACAGCTAGAAAATAAAAGACTTGGAAAAATGTTGATACATATTTTAAGTCATTTCAAAATCAAGACTTTAAGGACAAAGAAGAAATAAGTCAATTTTGAACTTTTTTAAGAATTGCTTGATAGTTTACGTTTTTGTAAACTAACCAATCCAATCTGGTTTTTCAATAATACATTGAAATACATTTCAAGATAATACACTTTGCTATAATTAAACACAGAATAATTTCTTCTTGGCGCATTCTCACATCCATTGTGATATTTGCAGCTTTGTAGTGGATGGACATTTCCTAAAAAAAGCTTCTGCTAAGTATGCAAATGTACATCTTGAAAACTGTGTAAAAGAGCAAATAAATGCTGGTTCCTGTCACCAGATGAAAATTCTTTATTATTCAAAAAAACCTAGATATTAGAGGATATCTTACAGAATTCCATGATTTTCTAAGCCTTACCTCCCTCAACAATTGCATAAAAATTTTAAAAATGCTTTCTGTGCCACGTAGACAACACAAGATATTATTCTGAGGAACTTACTTGTGCTGATATGATCAGACTTGCTGCTCTTTGGGGCTGGCCTCTCACACTGTGTGCCTGACCAGTTGGTGGAGCATCTAGAAAGAGTCAAATAACAACAGCAACAAATTAGAGAATAACAAAGCCCACAAATCTGCTAATACAGAAACTTCAAATGAAGTAATAGGAGAGCCTGTCATCACAGATTCGTGACTATGAGGGAGACATTCCTTCTAATTTCCTGTATATTGTCAGTATGCTGAGGGTAACTTCAACTGGACATCACTTATTGAAATACTTTTTAAATTTAGGTGTATAGTCATCTGCCTTTATGCTAAATTCAACTTAAAATGGTACACTTAATAGCAACATTGAAATCACAACTAAGAAATGGAAATTTATTTAAGAATTACTGAAGATGACAGCCACAAAAATTAAGTTTGCATATTAAGAAAATCCTTATTATGTTTCAGAGATTTGTTTTTCTGGTTATTCAAAGTCCAAAGTGTAATTAACTACCAAACAGCAAAGGATCAGCTGTCTCTTAAGCTGCAAAATTCTTCCTGTAACCCGAAATGAAAGTGTACTGCCTTTTCTTTTAAAACCATACTTCTATTAGCATGAAATCAAGAGAATGTGCCCAAGTTTTTATTGAGAGAAGCTGTTTTCCCCATACAGGTATTATGACATTATTGAAAAAAGTCTAATAAAGGACACAAATAGTACATCTGATTAAAATCCATTCTTTAAAGATAAATCCCAAATAAATAATTATGTGATTGCAACAAAATAAATGCTGGGATTGTTTTGGCTGTACTTGAACCATGCTTATTGACTAGCACAGATGCCTCTGTGAATCTCTCAGAGGAAATCTACAGAGAAACTATTTAATTGGTCTCAGTTGTTTTTGAAATGACTGTCAAATACCACCATATCAAGAATAGTTGTACATAATAAAAAGATAGCTTCCAGAACCATTCCAAGTGGATCTCTCAGCACATTGTGCAAAACTAAATGACTGCAATTTCAAGGATTCTGTCAATTCTGTCACAGCCAATTCAGATAGCTGAAGCTGTTTTCTGAACTAGGTTTCTGTGATGCATTTACATTATTTGTGATTTTCATGAAAGCAGTATTGGCTGTACTAAATTTTGAGCAAATTCCATAAAAATCATCATGCTGACAAGTTCAATCATGGACACAAAACGATGTTTCAAGAGATATATATTAACTTCAGCATAATTGACAATTATGTCCCCATTCAATAGTGTAGTTATTTGATTAATAATGACAAATTATAAAACTATGAGTATGAGCATGATTTAAATGAAAATTGATATTATTATTATTTACATTATGATTCAGGCAATCACTCATGAATTGACACACATTTGTTCAGTTATTTCATAAAAAGCTTGCATATTAGATATTTTTATACACATCATATTTATGATAAAACATATTATGAATACATTATTAAATCAGATAAATATAAAGTTTAAGGATATGATTCTATAGTATTTATTATATTATTAAAGTGAGGGAATGGAAGGAGCACATTTTCAAATAATTAAGATAAAGTGAAGAATGAATAAAATATTTGATTGTTGAAATATTACTTTTTTCTTATTTGAGCTTATGCTGATGAATGATCTAGAATAAGGCGTCCCAATTATTCACAGATTCTAATTCTTTACACATTCCATAGATGATTCAGAATAAGGTGTTTAGGAACATTTTGCAAATATGTTCTTGGACTGAATTCTAATTATTACAAAATGCTCTTTGTTTATGTAGACTTACATCTGTCACATCTTCCTAATAGACCAGTGAGAATGACTTATATGTGTCAATGAAAAAATACTGGCTATTCAGTAATTTCATTATATAGCTAATGTGTACATGGTTACATGCTACAATTATATTAAGTTGTTTAAAATGAAAAGTTGCTCCTTATATTACCTTATTCTGAAAACAAATTTTTAAATTGGGGTTTGTCTTTAAAAAAATAAGTGACCTGAGAAATATTTTCTGTGCTACTGGATATAAGAACCCCTGGGGCTCAACATTACACTGAAATGCTTTGAAGTCAAAAAGTAGAATTGCTTAGGAATTGGAGGATCAAATGCTAATTGATCAGATTATTTTCTGACATGAGCATCATGTATTTTAATTACTTATGTTATGAAAAAACATATCTTTAGAGCTGCCAGACAAGCACAGAAAGCTTGTTAAACAAAGAGGACAAGGATAGTGTGATTCTAACTCCGAATTCTGGAATTATTTGAGTAGAACAGAAGATATTTGTTAACAGTATGTTTTAATTTCTTGATTTATCAATTGTCTGGAACCCGGTCTTAAGATAGGTAAAATAAGTCACCTGCTAGTAATCATAAATCTCTTCGCTTTTATGTTGTGTGGGCACATTTAAATTATTAATCATCAGGGGTTATTTTACTTATTACATACTGGAAATAATTCTCAAAGTCTGAACTGGAGAAATAATTAATTTTAACATTTATACAACTTCATCGTCTGATGATCACCTTACATTTCTCCCTGTACTCCTTATAAAATAATGTTTTATGGCCAAAGATAAAATATGTTCCACTGCTCTGCACTTGTTCTAGTCTTTAAAAATAATCTCTTATGAGATATTAAATCAAATAGAAATCATTATTCTTGTTGCCTATCTTACAAAATTGCAACTTAAAGCATTTGCTGCTCCACAAGTTTCTCTTCCAATGTTTGATTTAAGACTAAGTATTTTTACCATCTTTATAGAAATTCATAAATCTTCATTTCTAAGTAGACTACAATGGTCAAAGCCATTAAAAGAAGAATATTTAAGAAATGGAATGTGTGCAGATCATCAAATTTTCCTGTCCAGTTGCTCACCGAATTATTTGCATAATCATACTGACTGTAATTTCTCTGGCATCTCTCTCTGTCATTACTACCAAAGCAAAAATTCATAGTCCATGCTCTGGTCATCCTTAATTCTGTACTGTTGCAATCCACTGCTTTCTGCTATTCATCCAGGAACAATTATCAGCAAGCTAACTCTGCATGCCCTCCTAAACAATTTTTATTTTTCCTCTCACCATCAAACACCTGTGTGTCATTCATTCTAAAATTATCCTACAGTTGTTTTCCACAGCCCTGCAGCTTAGAACTGTGGGGAAAATTTAGCTTTATCTTACCACTATACCACTCTGAATAATTTTTTAAACTTTCATGAATTTTAGCTAAGTATTTTTGGATCAGAGATAGACTGAGTTTTTTGTTTATTTATTCAAATGATCATTTGTCTTCCTTTCTTTGTACCATCAGCATGTTGTGCAGCCAGTAGCTGCCTGGTAAAGGGTTGTTGACAGTATTCTTTGATGTCTCCTCTTCTTTCCTAAGCCACTGGCTTTGAGAAAAAAAAAATATTTACTCTTGCATTGTTCACAATGCTCTGAGTTTTATGACTTTTCCTAAAACAATGATTATCTAACTAAAATTTGTTAAAATTCAGATTCATTGGGTCTTGCATACCAAGGAATTCATTAAGCCCTTAGGATTGTGGCCAGAAACCAACAGGCTAGCAAGGGAAATCTAATGGAAGTAATTCACAAACAACACTTCAAGAAACATTTGAATATTTTACCTTACAGACTTTGTTTTTATACCAAATATTATTTATTCATTTTTCATTTTTAGGAGAAAAATATATGTGCCCAGCATAGTTGCTCAAAATATTAAATAACCTAAGTACGAGTTTTTCATCTGACAAACTGAGTTTCTTTCTTTCTTTTTTTGAGACAGGGTCTCACCATGTATCTCAACCTGGCCTTGAACTCACTATGTAGCACTCCTGTGTCTGCCTTCTGAATGGTGGGATTATAGCCATTCTCTACCATGCTTGGCATCGGTATTTACTTTTAAAATTTTTCATTTGAATGTCACCATATGAAACACATTGTTATGTAATTTATCAGGTCCTTCACAGTTTATATAATTGCTATGTAGCTATAATACTTTTTGTTATCATAATTTCTGTGCAATATTATAATATTCTGAGTATAAGCAATAATGCACAGATATTATGAGCAAGTACAATAAACACTGTTAGAATACCAAAAGAAGTTTGGCATATACAAAGGAATAAAATATAATCTTTAAAATGGAAGTTATCACACTTAATAGTAATATTATAAGATATATAATTATACCAAAATAATGATAGCTTTAAAGTAGTAGAGTGATTATTACAAGGAGAATTGATATTAGATATTAATAATGGTGTGCATTAAAATCTTTAGGTATTGCCTTTCACAGTAACAATGATCAACTTATATGAAATGTTTCTGTCATTTTGCTGAAATGTGGTCAGAGTCATTCATTTTGGGAGGACTTCAAAATAAAATAATGAGATTAATATCTGTTCCTTTTTTCATCAGATTTAAAGGTCATGGAGCTCTTTTGACCACAGTAAAACTCAAAGGTGAACCTTAAAGCAATTTGAAATTGAATTTCTCCTCTTATATATGTGTAAGGCTATCCTTATTAGTCAAATTGTTAGAGTCACTCAGAAAGAAAAATCTTTTAATATCCCTTTTTCTGACCTGCCTGGAACTAAGGGGGGAAGGGAGGGTAGAGGGTGGGGGAGAGGGGCAAGGAGGAGAAATGACCCAAACAATGTATGCACATGTGAATAAAAGAATAAAAAGAAAAAAGAAAACACCGTGGCACAAAAGAAACCTTGAAATACGCTGCTTGGTGTTGTGCGGATGTTAGTGCTTCTAAGTCTCATTCAACAAAAGCAAGAGTATGACTACATGTTATGTACCTGGATTTATGTGAAAATCTGTATTTTACATAGTAGAGAAAATAAGAAAAATCAAGTCACTTGAAAATGTTTATTAATTCTGTAGATTTCATTCTTTTGGTGTTGAGAACATGACTTTAGAACGTGGTATTTCAGATATAGAAACTCTACCCTCAGCGCAGCTCCCAGGAGCTTTGTACCCCTCCCCCTTTCCAGAGTGGCATTGCAAAGTACAAAACTTGTTTGCATTTGAGACTAATTTTTTACTTATTTAACTGCTTAATT